ATAACCCCTAATGAAGTAATAGTTCAGGTTCAACCGACCGTGAACACTAAAATTTGTGCTGTGGTTCTCCAAGTGCAGCCCCTGTTCCAGTATCTTAAGCATCACCTGGATACATGTGAAAACTACATGAATTCTTGGGCCCTTTCCAGCACCTGCTGTGTCAGAGACTCTAGAGATAGACTCCAGCAATCTGTTTGAACAAGACTTCTGAGGGTTCTGATGTACCCTGGAGCTTAAGAACCATATTAGGAAAAAGAGATGAGAATCTTTAATCAAAGGATCAAGCTATCACCTCCCAGAACTCAATGACAATCTTAGCACTCCTAGAAGTAAGAGAACCAGATGTTGTATTCCTCCAAGCTGATGCACCTATGGCATATTCTTGCCGCTCTCCAAAAAAAATTAAACTTGAGTCTATTCTCTTTATAATTGAACTCCAAATTATTGGAAATATAGGAGATAGAATAAGCAATATCATGAGGAAGCAAAAGACAAATCAGGAATGTAGGACGACTAACCTAGTTTCTTCAGCAAGTCAGTGGCCTAGGTAAAGGGGAGGGAGGGAGGACGACTGTGCTAGAGAAAAAAGGATTCCAAAGACAAAATAAGCAAATACAGAATCACATCCTAGGGCACCTGGGTGGCTCAGTCGGTTTAAATGTCCCGACTCTTGGTTTCAGCTCAGATCCTGATCTCAGGGTTGTAAGATTGAGCCTCAAGTTAGGCTCTGTGCTGGGCATGGAGCCTGCTTAAGATTCTTTCTCCCTCTCCCTCTCTTAAAAAAAAGGAAAGAAAGAAAAATGTACATCTTGTTTGGATCCTGATTCCAGTAAGCCAACTAAGGAGACTTGAATTCAGACTGTGAATTAGATATTAAGAAATTGTTAGTTAGGTGTGGTGGTATTAGAGTTATGTAAGAAAATGTTTGGTTTTTTTTTTACATGCTAAAGTATTTAGGGTGAAACAAAATGATGCCAACATTTGCTGTAGGTTACAAAACAAAGATAAAAGAAGCAAGTATGACAAAATGTTGGTAACTCCTAAATCTGGGGGCTTCATTATACTGTTTTCTCTACTTTCATGTATGTTTGAAATTTTCATAATAAAAAATAGAAAATTTAAAAAGAACCAACAAAAGTTTTTATTAGGATATATTTATTCCTGTGCTAGCCTTTATCATAGTTGTTGTAATTGCCTATTTACTTGTCTTTACCAGTATTTCTCAAATTATCAGTATCGAAAGACCAATTTTTTTAATCGTCCAATTTGTCACAGACCATGATTTTTGTAAAATACAGTAAAAGTCAATTACCATAAAAGCAAAATGGGAGGAAAAGACATACAAAATACAACCTTAAAAATTTTTGTTATTAAAGTCAACAAGATTACATTTCACTTATTAGAGCAAATGTAAATATAGGAAGAAAGCAATTTTTTAAACCGTATACATCAAAAATAGGCAAATAGTATGGAGAATTGCTGTTACACTCGTTTGTTCTGTTACCATAATTATTAAATTTTTCATGTGAAACATGAGTGTGCTTCTTGCATGCTACCTTGAGGACCTGTGTATTAACTGTAGCATGGATTGAGAACATACCTCTCAGAGAATGATGAAGTATACCTACACAGATGTTATTTCAGCCACATGTTATTACGTCAGTTACTTCTGTTACTGATTTCTTAGCAGATGGTGTAGTTTTCAGGGATGCCCACACTGCAGAAATCATACAAAATGAGGAAGGTTCACTTAAGGAGTGAACATACCAACTTCTTTAAATAGGCAATCTCTTAATCTCTGGAATGTGGATGCTATCATTTTTCTTTTTTTTTTATTTAAAGATTTTATTTATGTATATCAGAGAGAGAAAGAGAGGCAGAGACACAGGCAGAGAGAGAAGCAAGCTCCATGCTGGGAGCCTGATGTGGGACTCGATCCCAGGACTCCAGGATCATGCCCTGGGCCAAAGGCAGGTGCCAAACTGCTGAGCCACCCAAGGATCCCCTCATTTTTCTCATAGTGTATTATATATTTATTGTCATGTGATTCTGGCTTTACGTGGTAATTTTAGGTTCAGGCATACCATGTTTTTTTCATCGTCGTCGTTGTCGTCTTCTTCCCAGACAGTACCTTTTCTGCCAGACTTCAGAGCTTTTTTCGTCCCCCCTTGGCTAGGGTAGTATTAATTTGGACTGATCACTTCCAAAAACAGTCTATACTCCACAGATTCTCTTGTGCTTCCCAGGACTCATTTTGTAGGCGACAGTTTGTTGTTGTTTCCCCCCATATACTTTTATTTGTTCACATTGGGTTTCTCTGTGTTGCCAAAAATCACAAAAATTTTTCCCATTAACTCACATTGACTCAGCATTTTCAACAGAAAGAAATTTTGTCTCTCTGGAGAAGTCATTCGTCTATGAAAAAGTTGTCTCTTTAGAGATGGAACTTAAGTAGTACTTGGTGTGGTATTTCAGCAGAGATAACACTAACTAGCCAAGAGATAATCCCATACAGAAAACACATTGCATTTCCCTTGGTAAATTGTAATTGCCCAGGGGGCCAACCCTTTTATTATGGATTTCCCCATTCACTCAGTATAGAAATGAGACTGGTTTACTCTTATGAACAGAAAGTACATTGTCACTCTGATGAGTCTGAACATTTTAACTGAAAAGTCTGTGTATCTGTTCTTAAGTGAAAACTTTTTTCCCTGTAGAATTTGAATGGCTGTTATGTGTGCTCTGTAAAGGTGAAAGGAAGATGTGGCCAGCTGATCATCTCAATTTGTGATCATAGCAGATGAAGAAGCATATACAAAATGTCTGCTCACATTTTTTTTAGAGTACAGTTGACACACATTATTACATTAGTTTCAGGTTTACAACTTAGTGATTTGGCAAGTTTATACATTATGCTGTGTTCTCCAAGAGTATAGCTACTGTCTCCCATTACATCACTATTATAGTATCATTGAATTCCTTATCCTCTGCTTATTCCTGTGACTTACTCATTTTAGCCTGTATCTCCACTTCCCCTTGAACCATCCTGCCCACCCTACACCCCCGTCTCCTGTGGCAACCATCAGTTTGTTCTCTGTATTTATGGGTCTAGGCCTAATTCTGGTTTGGGGTTGTTTTGTTTTGGCTATAGCTGATGTCAGAGAAATTACAGACTCACTTATAGGATTTTATGGTCCTAGACACATTTAGGTTTGTCTGCTTACATTTAAAGCCTTTAACATGTATAAAGAGCATAGTACTAACATTCCTTATTATATAATGGTTGATGATACTATGACCGAACCTTAATCAGCTAAATATTTAATAAAAACTGTGCCTCTGATGTTTTGTGCATGGTACTAAAGCAGTGTGGGGAGCACAGAAGAGAATGTTATTGCCCCTGTTGTCAGAAAGCTTAAGTGAAGGTATCTTATTTTCTAACACACAGCGTGTTAGAATTAGGACTGTGTGTGTGTGTGTCCACCCAAACACATACATACTTTGAGATATTTATAAGATATATTCAGGTAACTGCAGTGTGAACCAATGTGTTGTCAGTGATAAGGAGCTCAGAGTAATGATTACTTGAAGTGATGAGGAACTGTTTAAGGGCAAGGTGGCATTTGAGCAGGGTTTGAAGGATAGTTTGGATTTCAATTTCAGCAGGAGTCTAGTAAAGAAGCTTAATACAGTTTTTTAAAACTCAAAGATTCCAGATTAGCCATTCACTTACCAGTTGTATGAATTCAGCCAAGATATGTAATCCCTCTGATCTTCAGTTTCCTCATCTATAAAATGAAAATTAGAATAATAGTTATCATAGAGGGCTTTTAGGAAGATGAAGAGAGATTCAGTGATACAAACATGCCTTATAAACTGTAAAGTGCTATACAAATGTTAATCTTATAATAAATATTGAGGATGTCATGAGTCAAAGCCATGGAATCTAAATATCAATAAACTACATAGCCTAGAGCAAAAAACATATGAAAATGACTGAATATTGATTCACCCAATATAGTTCCTAAGTTGGGAAAATAATCTTAAGTTTTAGAAAAGCCTTTCAAGATTTATGCTGACCCTCTCTCTCCCTCAAAAGATCATTTCAGAGGCCTTTTAGATCTTCAGTGGAAACTTGAATGAGCTATAATGTTTCATTTTATTGAGTTCATGTAAACATATGCAGAATTAACTTTCGGGTAAACTGCTTTAGTAGAGATTATAACATTGTACAAAGATAGCTAATGTATCTGGCAAAGTATGTTTGCTTAGAGAACATGGCTATCATGTTTGATTTAGAGAACAAGTCTTAGGTAAATCAGAAGTGCTCCACCAGACAAAACAGGGTATGAATTATTTAAACTACTTCCAGGGACCACTATATCTTATGTAACAGGAGGCTTCTGTAATAACTCCATGAAATGACTGTTTAAAAGAAAGATATCCAAAAAAATAAAAATAAAAACATAAAAGAAAGGTATCCTTTGATGGGATGTCAGAAAATAGATTCATGGGATGTTTTTTGTACATTAATTTTATTTTTTAAATAAGGTTAGGAAAAATATTTGATAAACTTGTATATAGAAGAATAGAGATAGTGCTTAGGCATAAAAAAAAGCATTGTGAATTTTAAGGTGAATCTGCTACTTGCTGTCATCTTGTCTTGGGCTCTCTCCATGTATCTGACTCCAGTAAAATATGATTGGAATTAGTTTTCTCAAAGCAAGGAACTTGGAAAACAGTATGTTACTTGAACATTCACTCTTATTTATTTATAAAAAGCACTTGAATAGATGAAGCAGATTAAGAGTACACTTACCTTGATGAGCACTAAGTAATACATGGAATTGTTGAATTACTGTATTGTACACCTGCAACTAATACAGTAAAATAAAAAGATAGCTTTTGGAGGAGAAAAAATTCTGCCTACTGATAGTGGGGATTTTTTGTTGGTTGGTTGGTTTTGGTGAATAATCCTAAATTCTCTCTTTTTTTTATAGACTACCTTGCTAACCATGGCCGGTTAAATGAGTCTGAGGCCAGGCGCAAATTCTGGCAAATCCTGTCTGCTGTTGATTATTGTCATGGTCGGAAGATTGTGCACCGTGATCTCAAAGCTGAAAATCTCCTGCTGGATAGCAACATGAACATCAAGCTAGCAGGTAGGTGGGACACACTCGGCTCTGATGTTACCAGACATGAACCAGTGTATTGGATGTGTGTGTGGGCAGAGGTTCAGGAACATATCTACCAGTGACATCAGGCTTTCTCAAAGTGTGTTTTACTGATAGTTCTGTGTGTAATGAAAAGTAAGAGAAATATGTTCATCATTAGTGTACACAGTGGCTGGACTGGGGTCTGGTGGCCAGGTCCCTTGGTGTGCTCTGCTGAAGGAGGTCCGTTTATCTGAGTGTGTGCGTGAGCTAGAAGACTCACAGCCTGACCAGAGGAGCAGCCCAGGTTGCTGGTGCCTTGCCCTGCTCTCCTGGTCATGGCTGATTGCTGCAGAGAGGTCACAGCCAGATAAAAGACAGTCATAAAAGTCAAATACTTTGTTTTCATACAATAAGGTTTTGAGCTCTGACATGGAGGTTAAAGGTAGAGATTATTTTACTATTTTTTCTCCTACAGCTTTCACAATTGTAAAAAGTTTTATAGCTTATAATCCAAGTTTCTTTATCTATATGGTCAAAAATTCAATAAATATTTATGTGTGTATTAATAGATACTGTGCTATGCTAGGTATACTGGGGATACAAATCCTCTAATTGTAAAAGTCTAGTGGGGAGATAAAATAATTAAAATACAATATGTTGCCCAAAAATGTATGTATAAACTGCTATAGAAATCTAGGCAAAGGAACAACAGTCAGCCTGAGAAGTCAGGGAGGCTTCACAGAGAAGTAACTATTTGAACTTAGGCCCAAGAGAGGCATTAGAAGCTTGCCAGGAAGATAAACAGAAGTAGGATACTACACACAGGCAAACTGTGTAAATACCACAGGTATAGGGGAAAGAGATTGAGATTGGTGTGGGACTGTAGCTCAATATTAGGGAAATGTAAAATCTGTAGGCACAAGGAATCAACCAAGAGGAACAGGTAGGCGAAGAGCAGAATGTGAAGGATCTTGAACTCCATGAAGGAGATTTCAGAGTTGATTCTGTTGGTAACAGGGAACACAGCCTATTGAAAATTGTAGGGTGGGATGGGAGTGAAGGTGGGACTGGGTCCTGTGATGAGATTTGTATGTGGGATGTGAAGGTCTCTTTCTGGCAGCAGAGTGAAGATGGGTAGGAGGTGTGCATAAGATTGAAGACAGGAGGATTAATAAGGAACCTAAGGCAGTAGTCCAGTTAGGAAAATGTGGCTCTGGGTTAGACAAGCAGCAACAGAGGTTGTAGGTATGGGAGGGAGACTGATTTCAGTTCAGGTATTGAAGAAGATAAGAGACTTGAAGCAAAAGCTTAGCAAGGTTGCCAGTGGTGGTCTTTTATTCTAGGATTGTTAAAGAGGAACAGAGGAATGTCCAGATAAGAGGAGCTGACCAAGAAATTATTTGCTGACTAGCTAGGTTGGATACTCATTGGACTCTTAAGCTTGGAGACAAAACAGTGGCCTTGGTCTGCTGCATGGTGTCATAAAATGGAAGTTAAAAGCCTCTGATTTATGCGTGTAACTGGTTTATTTCTGTGCCATTTCCAATTAGTTTTTGCCCTGGGCATTTGAGGGAAAGCAAATAATTAATTTTTACTTACTTTAACTTTTACTTTAATTTTAATAATTAATTTTAAATGCCAATGTTACATATGGTTCAGGGAAATAATGGATTTTCCGTTCTGCAGGCTATGACTTTTTTTTTTTTTCTAATGGGATTGCCTGAACAAGACAGTATTTTTAAGTTAATCTGTTTCATTCTCATTATATATATAAACATTTGTGTTGATTTGTGTTTTTTGTTTTGAAAGTAACAATCCACAGTATTGGTGTTTCCATAGTTTCTTATGTGTGTTCACTTCTCCCCTTTGTGTTTTTTTCCCCTTCTTTTTGATCCTTCTGTTGGTCTCCTTCATCTCACTCCTGTTTGCCATTCTTCAGGAGTGCACTTTACTGGGATTTTTGGTTTACTTCTTAAAAGCATCTGCTGCCCTCAAGTTGTCCTCTTCAGTGAAGGCTCTTGTTTTTTTGAAGTCCTTAACTCTGTAGAAAGAAAGAGGAAACCCTGCTTCACTTTCATATTCTTTTATCACTAGAACAAAAAATTCACAAAAACAGTATTTCCAAGGAGTTCTCAGAGTCCTTTTAGGCATAGAAAGGTTAGCAGTGTGAGTCATATGCTATAGAAATTAGAGTGCTCTGTCACTAACATCTCAAAAGAAAATGTCAAAGTAGAACACCAGAGAAACTTGAAAACAAAATATACAGAATACTCCTTTAAGGTTATAACCAAGTTTTGCCTGGCTATAATATATTTCCTATAACTTTGGCATATAATATAGATAGGTATATAACTCAGTATTTCTAATGTCATTATATGGTATTCACAGTTTAGTCTCTTTGACCCCAGGAAGCACAGATTCTGAGTTTCCAAGCATTATTGGTCACTTTTTCCTCAAGGGTTATTCACTTCAGTAACTGAATTTTGGGTTTTATCATTTAGTATTTATGCATTTAGTGTCATTCATTCCATACCTCACAAATGAATACACACATGGGTGTGCATTTGCACACATGCATGTGCACTCACGCACACACAGTATACCTAGCACTCAGATATCCCCTTTCTACATTTTTTTCTGTCATTCTCACCACCATTGATCCCAAATTTTAGTGAATGTTTATTCCTTAATCTCCTAGGCCCTTAGGATAAGTCTGGAGATTGAAATATTTCAAGACAAAAATCACAACAGTACAAAAAAGTTCAACTTTGGTCTCACCTCAAGGAGTTAATCCAGAACCAGAGCTTTAACTAAATATAACACAAGAAGATAATTGTCATAAAGGCAATGAGGCTGGGAGAAAAAAACAACTCTTCCTGGAAGAACCAGGGAAATGATTGAGACTTGGTTAAGAAGGCATTTGTTGTGGGATGGGGCAGGGGAAGCAAAGGGGATGTAAGGTAGGTATGGCAGCTCCAAGCAGGTAGATCAGCATGGGCAAAGGTGAGCAGGCCAGAGAACTCATTAAAAAAAAAAAAAAAAAAAAGTTTTTTTAATTTAAATTCATTTTGCCAACACATAGTATAACACCCAGTGCTCTTCCCAATAAGCAAACTCATATTGTATAGGGAAGCTGTGGGCCAAAGCTAGTGAGACATAAGGGCCAGTGACAAATGATAGGGAAAGAGCCTGGACAGGTAGGCAGAGCCACAGCATGAAGAATTTCACATGCCATCAGAAGTTCATTATATATGTTTCTGTGCACTTAAAGAATCTCTCCAGGCTGTTTATTTTTATCCATAGATTTTATAACTTTTTTATAGTCCTGCTTTCCTTTAAAAACATCATCTTGTGATTTCTGAGGATTCTTCTTGAATTTTAAAGAATTCCAACACATGTAGGAAAGATGGAACTCCATGAAAAAATTGCAAGAACTCAGAATAAAATGCAAAATTATTCTCTCAAATTATACTTTGCTTATTCTTCTTATGAAGATCTCTTTAATTGCTAAATGGGTTGAATAAATGAACTGTTTTAGCCATCTTGTATGTTGAAATTGAAGAGAAAGTGCAAACCAAAACTAGGTGTAAATTACAATATTTGTCTTGGTTCTTAAGACAGAAAATTGAGGGGATCCCTGGGTGGCTCAGCGGTTTGGCGCCTGCCTTTGGCCCAGGGCGCGACTCTGGAGTCCCGGGATCGAGTCCTGCGTCAGGCTCCCAGGATGAGCCTGCTTCTCCCTTCTGCCTGTGTCTCTGCCTCTCTCTCTCTCTCTCTGTCATGAATAAATAAATAAAAATCTTAAAAGAAAAAGACAGAAAATTGGGTAGAAGTATCAAATGTGGTTTATTTTAATAAATACAGAAACATAGCTTTGAACTCAGTTTCTAATTTATGCTTCTCCAGTGGGTAGAGACTTCAGACACGATGAGCCATAGATCCATCCATACCCATGTGTGTCCATTGCCTCAATGATGAGACCTCCGGCCTTTGCAAAATATGAGGCAGAATGCAAAGAAATATTGGCACGCTTAGTAGTTGTAGTAGTTGTGGTACTGTTTCATCCTAGCTGTTGTGGCTATGACTATTCAGACATCAAGTTGAGAATAAAGAAATGAAGGACATTTAATTTTATTCTTCACCTTTCCTAATCTGAAATGTTTATAATAAATATTTAAAGATAAAAATGTATGAGCTACTTGGAGGAAGTTTTCAAAAAATATCACAATTCAAACAAGGCTTCTACATAAAGAATGTGGAGTATGATATGAGACAGTGTTGGTGGAAGCTCTGGCTGTGACACTTAATGGTTGTATGACCTTGGGCTGATTATTTAAGCTCACTGAGCCTATGTTTCCATATATACATTAAGCTGAGATTAATCTGTTTCTCCAGAATACTGCAGGGATTAATGATGATGTTAGAGATGGGGCTAGTAGGTAAGAGTATGGTCTCTAGAACCAGACTACCTGACTCTGAATTATGATTCTGCCACTTACTAGATGGGTGACCTTGGACACATTACCTAGTGTCTCCGTCCTCAGTTTCCTTATCTGTGAAGAGGGAATGATAGAAGTTCGTATCTCACAGTGGTTGCTAGTTAATATTTGCAAAGTACTTAGAACAGTGCCCAGTACACAGTTAATGCTATGTAAGTGTCTGTTAAATAAATTGTTAATTAAAGTTCCTGGCACCATGTAAACAGTCAGTAAAAGGTAGCTATTATTTGTATTCAATGTATAACTGATTCCATGTAAAAAACAAGTCCTGAAAATTTTGATAGCCATCTAACCCCTACTACCATGTTTTTTTTTAATTACCAAGGCCTTAAAGCCTTATTAATAAAAATCTCAGAGGAACCAGACAAGTTTATCATTTGTATTCTAAATTGTCTCTACTTGATATGAATTAATTCTTTTTTTTTTTTTCTGAGAGGGACCTTAAATGTAATTAGTGCTGTATAATAGCCTCATGGATCTGATCTGTACATCATGAGCTACTTGTCT